CTGTGTCCTTAGGCGAGTACTGTGCCCTAACTCTCTGAGGTAATGGTGGCAAATAAACTCTAAGATTTGATTCTAAAGTGACCGGCGCCCATCTGTTCACAACCTTAATACAAATCAAGGACTCTACCTTGAGGTGAAATGTCAGCCCACTTGGATGTAAGAAGTTGCTGCAAAAAATAGACAGTGCATAACATAATAATTAGGAGGTACAGGGTCAACATATTAGAGGACTACCATGCTGAATAACAGTCATGTACTGGGAAAACTTGGTTCTTGGTGATGGAGTGCAACACAGGGGAAGGAGGAAGTGCAGTCTACCCCTAATCCACCTTCATTCAGCCAGAACAGTGCAGCCTGCAGGACTCGCTATCACCTATTGTTCTGAACTTTGGCTTCACCTGTTTGGGGACAGTGGGACAAGTGTCCCACTTCATGTGTGTGAGAGGGCACCTCCTGGAGTTTGTGCATACTGCCTCCTCCTCTGTACCGCTTGTTCTTCAAAATCAACTGCCACCACTGTACTGCCTGTTCTCCACTATCAATTGCCCGCTCTGTACTTTCTGTCCCCACCTTTAACTGCCTCCTCTGTACTGCCTGTCTTCACCATCAACTTTCCCTCTGTATTATTTATACCCCACAATCAACTGCCCCCCAATCCTTTGTACTGCATGTTTTTCTTACTCCTACTGGCACTGACATAACAGATTTTTTCCTCCCAGACTCCGAGGCAGGGGCATTTTTTCCTGCCTGTGACACCACCAATGCAGGGACATTTTGTCCTCACACTGATGCGGGGCATTTCTTCCTTCGCCATTGTTAGCAGTATTTCTTGGTTACACAGACTGTATCATATGTATGCAGTTTATACAGTGAATAGGCACATGCACTGTTTAATCCTGCCCCTTTTTAGCCATTCCCACTGATGAGTGCCATATTACCATACCCACAATTCGCCGTGGCGTGCATTTCTAGATTCTTTCCCAGGGTGCCCCAGGTCTTTACAAATCCTAGTCTTGCTCACACAGTTTTGATTTAACTGTAAAGTCAGGCAGAGTACCCTTATGGGCATTGTTAACGTTTACATATTGTTTATACTGTTTAAATATTGATAGAAATAGGGGGGTGATTTTGTGGGTGTGTTTAAAATTGAGTGTGGTCAGTAATGGCACTGTGGAATTTGGTAGAAACAGACTACAGGTATACCTTGGGTCCTTATGGTGCCGCCTTTCTGTAAAAGGGTTATTATTTAGGTTTTGTGCTGGCCCACCATAGAATATAATACCATACCTTCCAAGCTGACTCAGTAGGTATAAAGTGACCTATATGGCTGATAAGTAGCTCATGTATGGTTAGCTGTATATTACATTGAAGCCTTTCCTCAGTCTACACCACCGACAATATTATTATTATACAGGATCTATACAGCGCCAACAGTTTGCTCAGCGCTTTACAAATGGGGGAGACAGTACAGTTACAATACAATTTACCATACAATACAATTTCAGTACAATAGGGTTAGAAGGGCCCTGCTCCTAAGAACTTACAATCTACATTTTTTTTTAAAACAAACTTTATTCTGTTTTCTCGGCCATATCAATCTACATTTTTTTAAGGCTGCCTGTCCGGTAGAACATAAAAACAGTTTAAGCAGAAGAACATTGTGTCCTGAACAGAGCCAAGGTTTCCTCGTAGGTGACACTGTGCAGATTCGTGAATGTGTTTGCACGCTCCTGTTTATATTAAAATATCTTGCCACTAAAGTGCGTTTCAGTCTCCTAACCTCCGGTGAATCTCTCCCAACAACCTTCCCTGTTCATGGTTATTTGGGTCACAGAACATCGAGAGATGGATTAGGTGATCCCTGAGTGACTGCGCCACTTGCAGCTATTTCTGGGGGTTTGAATGACTAAATTGCTGACACCCTGAAAAGGACCCAGTGCTAAATCACAAGAGCAAAGTTCAGGCTTAGAAAGCTCGGAACAGATTGTGCATTCAAGGGCAGGCGCCTTTAAAGTAATCTCAAAGTTTTAAAATCCAAAGATATAAAATGTGGTACTGAAGAGTAACTTTACTATAGCACTATGAATAAAATAATGGGCTACTTAATAACAATCTGCCACAGTTCTCTGAGTCCATTGGCAGCAGACAGAAAAGAAAATTAACAGAAAAGTTGAAATGAATGTTTACAGTTTTTTATAATCATAAATATCTAAATGGGATAAAGCAAAATGTCTGCTGGGCCCCTACCTTTAGTTCCAACCTTTTATACCAATGGAACACACTCTCAATTCAGGCCTGCTGTGAAATAGATAGACCTTGCGGTTTTCTTTACAGGATGCTCCAGTCAAAAATTAAAAAATGAACATATATGTGATATACTCAATCGGAGCAGGAATGTGAGTAACTTCTTATTTGTATACTGTGTCATGGGTATCTGGACTAGACAACCTACTGAAAAATACACATTTTTTTAGCAGATAACACAGTTCTGAAAGAAATAATTCAACTGTGTTGTCTTCACATATACGTTCATTTTTTAATTTTTGACTGGAGCATCCTGTTAAGAAAACAGCAAGGTCTATCATATTTATACTGATTTGCAGAGGCATCGGTGATCACTTGGCACCCACGCGGTACTCGAGGGTACTATCCGGTCAGGTGTTCGATGGGTTCTTTTTGATTATTATACAGTAAACAAAGTCACAAACATTAAAGTACGTAGTATTCAACTCTTTTTTCAATAATAAATCACGATCAAACAAATATAGATTGCCCGGCAATTTTTGCCCAAACACTTACAGTCATCATGTTTCCACAACTGGCTCCAACTCTCTCAGCTTGCATTCCCTGAACTTCCTGTCCAGTACAAGATCACAAGGGAGAGCAGAGTCTCCAGCAGATGTCCATCTACTAGCTTGGAGAAGGGATGAGGGGAGAGGAGGGGGGAGCAGAAGATTGGATTGCCCTGCTGTGCCTGTATGTTTGTGGAGACAAACATACAGGCACAGCATGTTCAACCTGTTTATTAATGATATTGGGACTGCCATTAATAGCAATATTTCAATTTTTGCTGACGATACAAACATTTGTAGGGTAGTAAACTCGACAGAAGACATAGAAATGTTACAGGAAGATTTCGATAAAATAGGGGGGTGGACATCTACATGGCAGATGAGGTTTAATATTGAGAAGTGTAAGGTTATGCATTTTGGAGTTAAAAATACACTACTCATTAATAGGCGTCCCACTGGGGGAATCAGAGGTGGAAAAAGAGTCGGGAGTCCTAGTGGACTGTCGCCTTAGCAACAGCATGCAAAGCCAGGCAGCAGCAAATTAGGCGAGCAAGGCATTATCATGTATAACAGAATGGGAAAGGTGAATGTACTGTAAAGACAAATCCATAATTCTGCCCCTGCACAAAACACTGGTCCGGCCACATCTTGAGTATGTGCTTTCGTTTTGGTCACCAATCCACAGAAAGAATGTCCTTGAGCTGGAGAGAGTCCAGAGAAGGGTGACAAAGCTAATAAAGGGGTTAGGGGACCTAAACGATGGGGAAAGACTGCAAGCATTAAACTTGCTCACATTTGAAACAAGAAGACTGAGAGGGGACATGATATTAATGTACAAATTGTTTAATGGTGATGGGATAATCAGCAATAAACTGTTTACTATTAGTTCACTCAAGAATACAAGAGGCCACCACCTGAAACTGGAGGAGAAAAGGTTTAATCTCAAACACCTCCCCTGTGGCTATGCAACATCCACGGGCTCCCTTCCCGGTGCCAACATCTTCACCCAGTCTTCTAATAGGTTTGGTATCTTCTGCCGTCTTGATTGGACTTTATTCATCGGCGCCGAGACATGCTAATGCTGAGCGAGCAGGCAAGTAGGAAGGTTTTAATGCAGGAGAGACATAAAGCTTAATTCACAAAGCTTTAAAACAAGGATAAAGGACAGGATAAAGGAAAATAACTCACTTATTTTAAAATAACTATCCTTCTCATGGCGTGTGAGCTTTGTTAATTGAGCCTATTGCATGTCTCTTCAGAAATAAAAAAGAATGTCTGCTTGCACATTTCTTTTGAAAATGGAGCATAATAGTTAAATGTATTCTTTTAATAGAGATCTATAGAACAGAATAAAAAGAGAGTCAATATTGGCATCCAAAAGAGGAACATTTCCTCCAAAAAAGGGACAATTCTGCTACTATGGTGTTGTGCAGGGTCCAATGGGTGCCTACCATATCAATTTCATCATTAGAAGCATCCTTTTCTTGACTCACCAACATTCATCCCCTTGTCTTTACTAAAAGCTTCTCAGCCATGTACTCTTACCCCCATACCACACTTGGGCCTTGTTCACACCAAGCGCGTTCCAGGAACAGAGCAGAGCAGTTACAGACCTGATCAAATGTCCAATGTATTCCAATGGTATTTTGGGCTCTAGTCCACACCGTAGCGTTCAGTTCCAGAGCATGTAAAAAAACTGCACCAAGCCCTATATTACCTGCTCTGGAACGCATGGAACGCACGGAAATGCATCAAAACGCATGCAAACACCCTGGAACGCATTGAAAGCACATTTTAAACGAAAATAAATATTATTATTTGTTCAAATTTTTTTTAACTAACGGGCCGGTAGGCTTCAAAAACGCGGGAAAAATGCGGCACAACCCACTGCACTGCGTGTGCAGAAACTCATGCAGATCTGGTCTGCATTTGGTGTGAACAAGCCCTTAGATGGGCATTCCTCCCACACTCTTCCTCCTGGGACTCTTCTTCTGTCAATCTAAAGGCCTGGCCGGGCCTCCCTGTGCCCCGGGCCCCATAGCGGATGACTGGGTCGCTATGGCGATAGTTCCGCCACTGAGTACATAGCTCTTTCATCATGACATAAACCCATAAGTCTGTAACATAAATTGTAAGTAAATTGAAAATGTTGTATTATTAAGTTCTGTTTTTCCATTTGTCATATCTGTCATTTTTGTTTTCCATAAGCTTTGCTGTTGGATATCCTGACGGTGGCTGGACTCCAAAAGCTGGTCAAACGCCGTGGCCCCTTTGAGGTGTCTCCGGGTATCTTGGACTACCTCGTCCTTGACGTCTACTCCTTCCCAGCAAGCCATGCTAGTCGAGCCACCATGGTGTCTAAATTCTTCTTAAACCACCTGGTCCTTGCTATTCCTCTACGTGTCCTGTTGGTCCTGTGGGCTTTCGCCGCTGGACTCTCCCGCATTATGATTGGCCGGAACCATATCAGTGATGTCATGGGGGGATTTGTGATTGGCTACATGCAGTTCAACTTTGTGGAGATTATTTGGCTGCCTTCTGGTACGTGTCAAATGCTGTCCTCTCTCTGGTGATGGTTTCTATTTATGATGAATGAGACTTCTAATGAAACAAGACTAAGAGGAGAGAAGCTATTCCCTCAACAATGAATGGATTTGAATGCATATTTCTTTGTTCTATGGTCAGTGGAATTGAAAAATGGTTTTACAAAATGTTCTGTCTTAGAAACTATTAAAAATAATGTTAATCACTATCGGTATGATTTTAATCAGTTTTAAAGATTAAAAAAAAAGAAAAAACCATACAGTTATTTTCCACACACCATTCACATATTGTGTGCTCACTCAAGAACTGTCTTAAAGTGGAAGTCTGGACAAAACTAATGTAAGGATCTCAATTTTAATAGCCTCATATATACACTGAGTGGCCAGTTTATTATGACCACCTGATGTTTGTAGGCAGGGCCGGACTAAAAATAGGCCCGGGCATTTTAGACTGAGCAGCCCAATCACGTGACCACCAACAGGCCCACCCCCTCACAACAGGGGGCGGAGCCAAACACAGAAGCGCAATCGAGGGGCAGGGCCGGCCACTACTAAGTACCGGAGGGCAACAGCTGACACACAAGCCTTGCTACAATGTAGGAAGCTTGCTATAGAGAATATCTGTAAAAAATAAGTCAAGGCAACTGGACTCGCTGTATTTTTCTTGAAGACGTTTCACTGGTCATCCGACCAGCTTTCTCAATTCAAACAGTAGACACTGCACAGAGCCGGCCATCAAGCATACCGGCCCGGCCCGAACACAATTAGGTTGATTGTGTTCGGCCCGGCCCACCGGGCAAGTGCCCGGTTTGCCCTATGGCCAGTCCGGCCCTGTTTGTAGGCAAATTAGCTATAATTAGGCGCTGAAGTTGCTAGAGGCCAGACCATTATAAATAGGGAAGCAGGTTGTTTACCACGACAGTAGAAGTGATTTTTTTTCTGAAGATACGGGTAAACAACGCGATTTAACCGCCTTTGAACGTGGGATGATTGTTGGCGCTCGAAGCCATGGAGCGAGTATCAGCAAAACAGCAGAATTTGTTCAAGAGGGGCTCATTGTTAAAGTGTTTAAAGACTGGACTGTCAGCCGAAAATCTGGGTCTGAATGTGCGAATTGTGGCCGTCAGCGACTATTCAATGTTAGGGCTGAACGGAGAGTGGCAAGACTGGTACAAGACAACAGAAGGGCAACAGTGCAGTGTCAGATTCCTCGCATCACCTTTCAGCATCTCGTGGAGTCACAAGGCGGCCCAACGAAGTCATCTCGTGGAGTTATCTCGTGGTCCAACGAAGTGCTGATGGGGTGGTCATAATAATCTGGCCACTCAGTGTATATTCTACCTTACCATTACATTTACAAGCATTTTCCATATGCACAGTTCAACATCAACCCATAAAATGGTGCAATAATTGTATTCACCTATTTGAAGGGTAACTGTAGACTTTGCTGTACTTTACTCTGGACCAGGGGTTGGCAACTCTGGCCTTCCAGCTGTTGTGAAACTATGAGTCCCATGAGGCATCGCAAGATTCTGATAGCCACAGGCATGACTCCCAGAGTCAGAGGCATGATGGGATTGTTAGTTAAAGCACAGCTGGAGAGCCAGAGTTGCTCACCCTTGCTCTGGAGCAAAATCCCAGAGCCTGCAACAAGACAACATTCATGTACAGGCCTCTTTTTTCAACCTACTTAAAGCTGAACTCCAGGCAAATGGCTACATGCCCAAATAAAATACATATACTGTATATGTATTTTAGTCCTTAGAATCACACAGGTCTGCAGCGATACACAGCCCTGTTTGACAGTGCCGGTTACCTGATTTGTCTCTGCTTTAGTTCGGTAACACTTATAAGCTCCCTCCCCACCATCACCTTAAAACTAGACAGTGTAAGGAGAAGCAGCACATAGATGATCTCATCTCTCTGTCACTGTGCTTTCTCCTTCTATTAGCATGCCCCTTGCACTGCAGCTCAACTGATTGGTTCTACGTGCTGCTTCTCCCACCCACGGTCCAGCTCTACTGTACAGGTACGGCAAGAGGTACTGCAAGAGGCTGATACCAGGTCAGATTCAGATACTTACATTGCTTTCATTTAAAAAAAAAAAACACACACACATTTCAGATGTATTAATGAACACAGAGCTGTATTAATTTGTCTTATTTTAGCCTGGAGTCCAGTTTTAAAGGAGAACTATGGGGTTAGGGCTTTTCCCCATAGTTCTCCTTACGGTAACGAGAGGACACAAACTGGCGTCCTCCCGTCACCCTAAGCTACAGCTCGCGGTATACTGAGACGCTGAAGCGGATACCGACAATTATGTCTGGATCCGCCCAGCTGCGTGAGTGACAGCTGGCTTTACCTATCTAGAGGCAGAGCCAGCTGTACCCTCCCCCGTCTGTTCCGCCAGTCAGCACCGGAGGATCGGAGCGGGGAGGGGGGAATCCAGCCACTCCCCTGTCACTGCAAAGAGCTGTGACAGGATCGAGAAGTGAGCTAACGCCGCTATGTGTTCGCTCACTTCCCGATCTACTGAGCCGACCTGTGACAGTCTCATTGTCACAGGTCGGCTAGAACTATGAGGTGAGTGAAAAGCACTAGTTCTCCCTTAACGCTAAACTCCCAAACAGCTAAATATACGGTTGATATACATATGTGTACTGCCTTATCTGCCAAAGGATTTGTATTTCTGTTTAGTCACTTTTGTGATTCATTCACCTCTGTGTGGCTAGGAGGGTGACATCACTCTGTTTCATCCACTTTGCTCGCTCTGCTTTCTCCTCCTGACAGCATGTTCCCTGTCTAGACTTGTGCATGCAGTAGAGACTGATTGGGGTTAATTTACTAAAGGCAAATAGGCTTTTCACTTTGCAAGGGAATTTTCCCTATGCTTAGTTAATGAGGAAAAGCTGACTTCCATCACCCACTCATGTGCAAGCAAAAATCCTGTTTTATTATTTTACTTGCACATGATTAAGAATTCTTTGCAAAGTGAATTTTCAGTACATTTATTAATATTCAATAAAAACTGGACTATAGCTGATCAAGGCAACACATCCCTTGCATAATCATGTAGACAAAATGGCTTTTGACTGGAACATTTCAAGTGCCCAAATTACATTAGTCTCATATGATTCAATTTCCAAAATAGTTTATTATATCCAGTACAAAAAACATTTCAATTATAATACCAAGAGATGTTATTAACTTCTCAGTATGTTGTTTTTAATGTTTTTTGTAGTGGATATAATACACTATTTTGGAAATCGAATCATATGAGACTGATGTAATGTTGGCACTCAAAGTCCCATTCAAAAGTCTGTTTGTCTACATAGAACAATGAAGTGACACTAAACTCAGGAGTTATACCTTACAAATACATTCAAGTATCCTAACTATTAACATAAATGTATCTTATTTGTGTATCACTCGGCTGTAGATCCTCAAATCATCTCTGAATTCATCCTGACACTGTCCTTCCTTCTGGAGGGGGGCTGCTTTTGCTCCCCATGGTCCCTGTGTGTGTTGTAAAGTATCCATCTCGCCAAGCTCACTTCCTTGGTGAACTATAATCTCAATACAAATTAGTAAACTAAACATGAGATTGTAGTCCATCACTGGAACGAGCTTGGAGTGGTGGCTACTTTACAACACACACAGGGAACAAAAGTAGCCACCCTCCAGAAGGAAGGACCAATACAGAGATGATATCAAGATCTACAGCTAGGGTTGCTACCTTTTCTTCAGGTGAAACCTGAATACTCTAGCACTGTGCGTCTGTGCATGGTAATTTTGTTTGAGAATATAGAGGAGAGAGCGAGGAGAGGCAGCCAGAAGAAGGCGCAAGAAGAGACAGCCAGGGAGGGAGTAAGGAGACAGGCTGTAGAGGACTAGATAATCCCAGGAATAAATTATAAAACAATACAAAATATAATGAATTGCCATGTGCTCAGGGCAGTTCGCCCCTGGGCCCCAGCCTGAGGGTAGGGTGTAGACAGTTGGAGAAGCTGACTAGGCCTAAGGTCTGCAGGAGCCCAGATGGAGACCCAGGTGGGGTCCGCAACTGTCTGGGATGGAGAACTAGAGGAGTCCTCTGTCTGCTGGAGTTGCCAGGAAGGCCAAGATGGCATGGACCTCATGAACAAGTCTTGTGTCTCTTTCAGGAAAGATCTCAAGAATGCCTCCTGTCCAGTTGTGGCTCTATTACATGGTATCATCCTCTACTCAGCTAAAGTATTCCTTTCCTCTGGAAGCTATAAAGGACTGGTGAATCTGGAGTCTATTTATTCCATAGATGTCTGTAGCCCTATACCTTCTTTCCCCGTTTTGGCTGTTCTACAATAAAGCATTGAAAAAGTACTCAATGTGACTGATGCCCAATTTACTGTTCACATAACAGCACAACCAAGTTAAGGATCCATCCCTGAGAGTGAAATGTCAGCCCTGCCTCTGGGGCTCACCACATGCCTTTGGGGGTCAGGGTGACACTACATTTTTGTTAATAGTTAAGGTACTTGAATGCATTTTTAAGGTTTAACTCCTGAGTTTACTGTCAAACTAATTAAGCTAAGGGGAAATTCCCATGCAAAGTGAACAGTCTATTTGCCTGCAATAAATCAACCCCATAGGTTCTTAGTACTGCCCCTTGCTGTCCCAGTCTAAGTGCTGCTGTGCAGGAGATAACAGCAGACTAATATGAAAGCACATTCAGGTACTTAGGCTAGCTGTATAGAAAAATACATTCATTTTTGCTAAAATAAATGCACAATGGCCTTAGATGTTTCTTAATAACTATTTGAAGTTCAGCTTTTACTGTATAACAATTTTAAGTCATTAGTAGATTTTTCACATCATATTACTTTGGGCGTAGGTTTATGTTTGAGTAAGTTGTACCGCTTTCTCTGTAAGAGTTAAGAGGAACATAACTTGCCCATATGACATTTGCGGCTTTCAAGTCTGAGCATCTGTGTGCTGCTTCCTGTGCATACAACCGCATCCCGTGTGTTCTAGAATGCTTATCTGCTGATTACAGCCCATTCTGTTACAGGAAGCAGCACAACAGGCAGAGCCCAATCAACAACAATCTGGGTTGCAGTCGGCTCATCCTGCAATGA